CCCCCCCCGCCCCGGTACCGGAGCTGCTGCCCCGGTACCGGGCGCCGAGCACCGGCTGGCTGCGAGGGCCTCGGGGCCGCGCACCGACACAACCGCGGGCACCCGCAGACCCCGGGCGGGGCGGCGGGGTGGGGGGCACAGCAACAGCGGCCCTGGAGGCGGCCCCCGCAGCTGCCCCCCGAGCACCGCCCGCGGGCACTGCCCGCCCCGAGGGACCGGGTTTTATCAGCTGCCCAAGTGCCGGGACAGAGCAACAGCAACGCCGGTGCCAGCACACGGGCGCTGTACCTTGGGGTGTTTTCCACATCACGCTCCTTAATTGTTTGCCGCCAGTTAAAACCCTCACTCTCTCTCTGCGCCTCTCTGCTGTCTCCTCATCTCTCGCAAACATTTTTGCAGCCAGTTGGATGAGCTTATGACTCATGCGACCTTTCAAATAAGCCCTATAATATACCCACCTCTTAAATTAATAGTCATTTAAGGGCTACAGATGAGACGGGAAAGCATATGATTTACCTGATAGTGTGTACTTCCACAGTTCTCATTTGTATGCGCTCACATGTAAATACTAGTTATTTATGCCCAAAATGCAAACAGAAAATTACGAAGGTTACCAAAAACTCAGGCACTGGGAAATTAAGAAGTGTGAAAATTAAGTACCCTCCTCAACCTTAAATCACCTTCTTTGTGCATACTCATCAGGCAGGGCACGCTGATTGCAACGCCACAGTATTTCTTCCCCAGCACCCTGCCGCACGCAGCACGCCCGCTGCACTGGCTGCCCAGCTGTGGATTCCCCTGGTTTATTCCCCTGCTTCGTTACCGGCCCTTTGCCTTGTTTACTGCCTCTGTTCAGAGCTCAGGCTGGAGGCGGAGGCAGGTCTGCCCGGGCTCTCCCCGGGAGCTGCAGTGCTCAGTGGGCTGGGGACCAACAGTGCTCTCTGATGCAGGTGAGGATGGAGACTCCGGGATTGTGGTCAGAAGCATCCACCCAAGCTGAATCGCAGGGCTTTTTTCCATCTATTTTTTGAGGAGGGGTTATGGTCGCCCAGTTTCTGTGACTGGCGTTGGCAGCGGGACATGGCGGTGACAGGTCACCCCTTGGCGTCACTGGCTGGACACCGAGATGAGCCCCGCGCAGGGCTGCGCCGCGATGCTGGTGGGTACCACAAAGGTACCTTGGGGTAAGGTGCAGGGAGAGACAGTGCTTCTCTGGGACAGCTGCCTCAGCCATGGCATTACCCTCCCTCGTCCTGCCACCCCCACCACTCCCACCGCCTGTCACCCAGCTCTTGCAGCGTGTGGGGCAGAGCCTGACACCAGCACCCTGCCCGGCCCCCATCCTGCGCAGAGGCAGGCGTCCCGGGGAGGAGGCAGCAAAGATATCTCACACCTACAGCGAAGGGGCTGAAAATTGCATTCCGAGTGGGGGATTTTGCAGCCTTAATTGTGTTATTTTAACAGTGTGTGTGTAGGTGTGCACAGAGTGCACATGTACCGTTTCCTAGGCTTTTAACAAAGCAAGCTCAAACAGAATCAAAGTCCATGTGGGATCATGTTGGCCTTTGTAGGGGTTGGTGGCAGGGGCACCCCTTGCGAAGCCCTGCACCCCTCTTGCCGCTCGTTGTATGGAGTAGCCAGTCCCAGGAGTGAGCCCGGAGCTCTGGCCACAGCAGCCACCCCAGGGGACGCCCAGGGGGTTCACTAAGATTTGCAGCCAAGAAGACTTTGAGGACCTTGCCATCCTGCTTTGCAGCTCAGACTCGGGAGGGCGGTGTGCTCTGCGGTCGCAGCCTGACGCCCTGCCCTGTGCAGCCTGGGCCCGTCCAGCTCCAGCCCTGGCCACCCCTTGCTGCTCACTGCCTCATCCATCGTCATTTACCTGCTCACGGACCTGGACCCTTCTGAGTTCGGCAAAGTGGAAACGAATAACAGAAACCAGCTCGTGCTGCAAAGATTGTACAACTTCTGCAAAAAAAAGCTGTCCTTGCAGGCAAAAATGTCCTAAACCGAGATCTGTTAGGCTTTGTCCTTCCAAATCCAGCGATGAAAGCTCTGCTGCATTTAAATTGGCAAAGTGACAGAAAGTAAGTAGTCAGAAATAATCCCTAGCTGGATTAGGTTTTTTCCTTGAAGGAGGAGAGGCTCTGATACAAGGCGAGTTTAGGTCATTAGCAATGCAGTGAGATGCTGAGCTTCAGCCTTGCCTAGTCTTCACTTCATTTCCCTGCTCCCGGGGGCTGCAAGGGGATAAGGACTCCAGAGCCTTTGGCACGTGCGTTCATCCTTCCCCACTCCTACGAGGGGATTATTTATATCTGCACATGCTTTGGAAATGCTGGTTGCAGTCTACTGGCTCTAACAGGACTCCAGTGGTGAGGCTGGTGTGTCCTTATGTGACGTGCTACTGAGTTCAGGGATGTTCTAGCTGTGACACGACTGAGCAATGTCATACATGCCACCAGCCCAAGTGTGTGTGACACAAGCTGGTTTACTCGGTGCGAGCTTGTGCGGTTGCCTACCAGCTCTGCGGCTCCTCGCTAGACTTCCGACAGTTTAATAGCAATAAAAATAACAGGGGAGAGAAGCAGAAATCCATTCTTATTAAGCCTCTTTACTCTGGGAAGATGCCAATGGAGTGCAGGAGTGGCCACGCATGGGCTAGCAAGCAGCACGCAGCCTCTCGGGAGACCCGGGTGAACGCGCTTACAGCAGCTCCGTGCTAAATCCACCTCACTTCACCCACACTTCTGCTTTCGCATGTACCAGCTGCACACACGCTGGTGTGCCTAACTATTGCATCTGCTTTTTTTTTCCTCTGTACCGATACCCTGGGTAGACAAAACAAATCCAGGAGAGGGAAGGGATGACACGGGACAGGAAACGTCATGCCAGTGCCACAGGGTTCCCCCAGCTGCTCCGTGCCAGCTCCGAGGGTACGGGGTGCTGTGTGCAGTTCAGCAGCTCCCCGTCTCTGCAGCCCTGCTGGGGACATCCTGATCCCGATCCCGGGCTGTGGGAAGGAAGCCGAGGGAATCCCTTCCCCAAGGTCATTCCAAGACCAGCCTCTACATAGAGCAAGTCTGCACGGGATGGGTGAGAAAAGAGGAAGATTATCAAAGGGATTCTATGAGGCAGTGGTACCACAGAAGTAATAAAAGAACAAATAGCAGGGAATTAAAAGATATTCCGTAGTCTGAGTCCAGCCGGACCACGCTGAGCCACCATAAAAGGTTTGCTGCTGCTCCGACCCACCGCAATTTAATTGATTTGATTTAAATTCTTTGAAGAAGAAGTGGATAACGAATAATGAGGCAAACAGGATTGTAATGCAAATGAAAGAGATGAAAGATGGCTTCAGGGAGACGGCTCTTGAAGGTCAGAGACTAACGCAAAGCTGCTTCTGGTCACTCATTCAAACATTAATGAGGCTGTGTTCCTCCAGATGCCTTTGATGGATGGAGGGACGGCTCTGGAGGCAAACGCTGTGCTGATGTCTGGCCTTTATTCTCCTCGCTCCAAGCAGATCATCCCCTCGCAGTGGTGAGGAGGATTTTACCTGGCGTGTTGTAGGGACTTGGGTTTCTGCTGCCCATGTTTCACTGGGTAAGCAGACTTCTTAATTGGGTTTTTCCAGATACTCCGATGGAGACTCTAACTTCAGAATTAATTAACTTCACTATCAAAAGCTGAGTCATTTGTCACAATGGTTTTGTCATTAGCTCCCATAATTACGGAAAGTGTCACAAAACCAAATGTTTCACTTACTTACACAAGCCAGGATAACGGAAGCTCAGGAGCATTTCCGACACGCTGGGAATGGGCACGTCAGCGAAGCTGAGGAGGGGCTCGACCGGCCACCCCAAAACATGGGAGACCTTCCTGGCACAGCCCCGCAGACCACCCCGTCCTGCAGCTCGCCCTGCCCGCGGACGGGGGCTCTGGGGGGGCAGCAGAGAGGCAGCGGGGGGACAGACCAGGACTGTCCAGCCTCGAGGGCAGACGCTGGGGGTATGCGGGCAGTGCTGGGGCTGGTCAAGCCCTGCGGTTTTCCCACCTCTATGCCAGTTGGGGTGGTCCCCGGTGACCACCGGTCACGCCAGGTGGGAGAGACGAGGACATCTTCTTGCTGAAGGCTTAGCTGAAGTCCCCGAAGGGAGAAGGAAATGCCCTTCCTAACATGCTTACTGGCTTTCACAAGGGCGCTTCCTAAAAGAGCAAATTTCCTCAATGGAGAAAAGCAGGTGTGTGCTGTGCAGCTTTCCGTGCAAGCAAGCAGAAAGGTGCATAATGGTGTGCTTGGCCAGGAAACCATTCACAGCCG